TCTATTTTTAATGAATAAGAGGCACTTGTGTTCATTAAAATTATAAAAAAGATAAATAATGAATCACTTCAAATTACAAAATTTCCATATTTCTTAAAAAACTGGCACTGTGTCTGCCAATGATAGCCACATATAATATTTATGAAAGGCTGACTTTCCTTAATGAGAAATTCAACAATTACCATGGTAATAACTTGAGAGGCAAGGATGAAATATATGATAATAAAAGCAAGTCTCAAAGTGGAGACAGTGTGTAGTGTCAAAGCTCTTAGGCCCCCAAATGCTACTGGGGTCTGCAGGGTGAAGCATGCATTCCTCCATGATCTTTCAAATAGCATGAACCCTGCTTTACTTCTTCACCTACTTATTTCTCTGAGTAAAATTTCCTTTTATTAAATTTTCTGCATTACCTTTCTGTAATTTTAATTGTTCTCCTCCTTCTTCCTTCAAAATATGTGATTGTAGAAATACTTCAACAAATGATTTCAAATACTATTGAGTAAGAAATCAATTTATTTTCCCTGCTTTCTTTGAAAACTCTAATCCTCAGTATAAACCAGAACGATCTGCAAGTGATGAAATTAAAGCTCTGTTTTGGCTCAGTTCTCTGCTTTCTTTCTGCAGGATTGTTAACTTAACCTATACTTATTGCCAAGTTCAATTTATAGAACTAAGTATAAAATACTACCAAAAAATCTTGAAGTAGTAGAGCACTGAGATGTTATAACTAGCAAAATTATTAAAATGTTGTTTTTAAGAGTATATATATAATTTCATTGGCACATACTTTTCTCAAGATGTATTGTCAAAGAAATTGTCTTTCATGTTGTGTACAAAGTCAATCTTCTGTTCGTATTATGAAAAGGACATGAAAAAAATACAAGGGGAAATAAAATTAAAGAATGATTATTAAAGTCTGTAGAAGTAACATTTTTAAAAATATATATATATTTGTTATGATTTTCAATATCTCAAATTTCCCACATCAGATTCCTGAACTACACTTTTAATTATCACAAAGAACCATATCAAGAAGCACACCATACTATAACACGTCTAATTTTAAGATTTCCAATTACAAATAAATAAGGCATTTTAAAAGCATCACAATTTATGTTGTCATTGCTTAAAACTTTTAATTTTGTATACTTAGAACTATTTTTTTTTTTTTTTTTTTTTATAGAGGCATGCTTTATTTATTTGTTTGCTGGTTTGTTTGTTTGTTTTTTTGTTTATACATGCACTGGGTACAGTCAGAAGCGCGGGAGGGTGAGAGAATTCACCAGAGCCAGAGCGGGGAGCAGAACAGGCAGAAGGACCGAGGTACACTGCTGAGGGGAGCAGCGGGCGGCAGGAGAGGTCTGCGCGCCATGTGGGACCCTCCTCTGGTGGCCGGGGAGCAGCCGGGGATCGAACCGGTGCCGCAGAGGCCGCGGGCAGCTTCGCAACCCAGCGCTCAACCGCTGCGCCACCGGGGAGGCCCTGTATACTTAGAACTATTAACAATATAAGAGGAAATTGATTGAGAGCAAGCTGAAGAAACAGATAGCGTTCATAAATGCTTCTGATTTGATATTGAAGTCAAGCAATTCTATCAAATGCTTTAAGAAACTTGAGAGATAAAGAATGCAGAGATCTGCAGGGAATCTTATCTTATTCTGTACACAGGAGTCCAGAGCTCTCCATTGAATTCTATTCTTTATTATCTCTGATTATTCCACATGGACCATGGGGAACAGACTAAATTGGGGCCACTGATCTAATTTATGTCCCTCCTGACCTCTTTCCAAGTCTTCAATTCTCACTTGCTAGAGTGTTCAAAAATGTTTGTGTCAAAATAAAGCTTAGATAAAAGTGTGGATAAATCAGAACAAAAACCATGCTTTCATATAATGCCAACCATACCAATTAAATGCTCTTTTTTTAAGAATCTTTTGAAATGGCTTTACTCTACTCATCTTACCACAAAAGGTAATATTTGTCACAATGTAAAATATAGATGATATCAACCTTTACAAAAGTACTAAATTCTTGACATTCAATAGAATGACTTTTAAACTACAAATATTTCATTGTTTTATATTAAATATTTAAATATACATAAATACACGCATACATATGTATTTATAGCTAAACCATGAAAAATTCTTCCATATATTGTAAATGCCTCAGTTTATCTGACATATAACAATATACCCTGAGTTATGTATACACCTACTCACATTAGTTTATCTCAAAACCGAAGATAAATTTTTTTTTTTTCACCCTAAGCAAAAGCTAGAAGTGACAACTCTCTCTAAAAAAAAAATCCATTTTATGAGGACCTTGGAGCAAAAAAGCAAATTTAAGCTCCTAATTTGTTTGTCAAAATTCAAATAGCAGTACTTGGTTAATTTGTTTGTCTATCACATGTGAAGACAGAGTGAGAGATATAAATAAAACAGAGATATGCAAAGATATATAATATTTTATGTAATATAAAGTGTAATAAATTCACATCCATACTTTTCACTTACCTGAAATCATAAAATTACTCCCGTTTGTATGTGTGTGATGTGTGTGTGTGCGTGTGTATGGTGTGTGTGTTTTTTTTTTTTTTAAAGATTTATTTATTTATTTATTTATACATACAAGCACTGGGTACAGTTAGAAGCATGGGAGGGTGAGAGAATTCACCAGAGCCAGAGCGGGGAGCAGAGCAGGCAGAAGGACCGAAGTACACTGCTGAGGGGAGCAGCGGGCGGCAGGAGAGGTCTGCGCGCCATGTGGGACCCTCCTCCAGTGGCCGGGAAGCAGCCCGGGATGGAACCGGCGCTGCAGAGGCTGCAGGCAGCTTTGCAACCCAGCGCTCAACCGCTGCGCCACCGGGGAGGCCCTGTATGGTGTGTTAATGGGGTTTTGATGCTGTATTTTTAACTGACCTTTTTCAAAATTAGAAATCAGAGAATGTTGGTCAATCATCAAATGATACTTCATTCACTTCATTTTGTAAATGTGATAAATAAGATACTGGAAAGCAAGTATTTTCCAAGCACCAGAGAGATGAAAAGATGTTAAATTGCTTAATTGTCAATTGAGTAGTGTTTCGAACACACTGTATTGCCTCACAAATGTCATTGTATTATCCTATTAACTTTGTTGTTAATTTTGCTCTTTGAAGAACTGATAAAAATTAAATAGTACAATAAATCATTTTAATGAACATATCCTAGAAATGTGTTTCAAGGACACCAATATAACACGCTTATTAAAGCAGATTAAATGTTAAGATGGGGTGTATATCTGAAATTATTTTAATATAATACGGTTTCTCTAACTTTAATAAAGAATACTCGGAGCCTCCCCAGTGGCGTGGCAGGTTGAGCACAGCGCTGTCAAGCTGTCCACAGCCTCTGCAGCGCAGGTTCGATTCCCGGCCCGCCAGGGAGATTACCACATGGTGCGGCAGATCTCTCCTGTCGAGCCTGTTGCTCCCCTCAGCAGTGTATTTTGGTCTGTCTGCCTGTTCTGCTCCCCACTCTGTCTCTGGTGGATCCTCTCATCCTCCCACACCTCTGGCCTATACTCCAGCTCTTGTATAAAAATAAATAAATCTTCAAAAAAAAAGGCCAAAAAATATATACTTGAACTCATTTTAGACAGAATAATAGTCTAGATTTAATATGTTCTTAGTATGTAAATTCCATAGGCTCATTTGACAACACTCTAACAGAGGGGTTCTCAGCCCTCACAATCCTTGCCCCCTTATCCTTAAGCACGACATGAATACACACACACTTTCCTCAAAGTCATTTGAAAAATAGTCTCCCAGTTCTCCCAGATGAGTCAAACATGCTTGTCTTGTCAACTGCAACTCTCAAAGTGACAGCAAGATGCAGAAGTAGAGAAATTGGACATTAATGAAAGGTTGGTTCAACCCTCTCTTTGAAAATTGCTACAGCCATAAAGGGATAATTCATATTTGTGTAAGCTTTAAAGAATTCATGGAGCAGGTAGTAAAATGGACTTGGACCGTGAGAAAAAAGACATCAGTGTGTTTCTCAACTCTACCGGTGAGTATCCTTGACTGAAAACACCACTGCTTCTTAGTTGTAAAATGTGTTTCATTCCAGAATAGGTCTACTGTGATGATTGAGTCCCATAATAAATATTTTTAGAAACTTTAAAATGCTCTCAAATTCAAACTATCATCTGCATGATGAAATGTGTCGTTTTTCTGTGAGAAAATATTCAGTAGAGCTTGTGAAAGATGATCGGATCAAATGTGGGAGAGATTTGGACCACTGACTTATTTCAATGAATTACACCAAAGAATTATTTGAAATAAACCAAGTGTGCTATGAAGATAAAGTAACCAATAAGCTGCATGGTTTACACTTACAACTCAATGTTGGACACAGATTAAGTGCCTAAGAAATACAAATGCCTGATGGAGAAAAAGTAAATGAATGAAGAGAAAGGGAATTTATTTAAGTAGAAACGATAAGAGAGTAAGTGGCAAGTATCCAATGGGACGTATCACGGATGAGAATGAGACTTCACTGAAGAAAAACTTTTAAAATTCTATTGTAACAGTAAATTTTCCAAATGTTAATAAAGGGATTTTTAAATATCTAAAAGTGACATAACACTTCGCTAAATCCAAAAAAAACCCCAAAAACCAAAACCATGCATACATACACGAAGAACATAAATCGATGGCTTTTTAATCAACAAAAACACACACATCCACTTTAACTAGCCAACTTTACTTTTAGCATTGAACACTTTTTTATGCACTAGTCGCTGTTCTAAATGTTTCATATCCATTTTCTCATCTACCGCTAATATCTGCCGAAGAAAATAGGAGTGATCAATGTTCTAGCTATGCAGAAACAGATACTCAAAAATATTGGGCTCACACCATAGCTAGTAGCAAAGTCAAGAAGCAAAGCCTACAGTTTGAAACATTATACTCTCTTTTCTTTTATATACTATTCAAGCATGCTATTATTACTCACTTTTTTAAATGTCTTTTGCATTTGCTTTATGGTCCATTCAGGAGTGTTTCAGTCAGAAGCCAATCATGAACAGAAAAACCACAGCAGCATTTTAGCCAAGTGAACTTGTCCCAAGGTTATTAGAGGCCTGGAAAAACAAACAAAACAAAAGGGATAAAGAGGTACTTAGATAACACCTCTGGGGCTGGAACAAAGGGAAGAGAATAGGTTTATCACAAGCTAGCATCTTTGGAAAATGTGACGAGACCCATCAGAGGAGAGGAAGATAGAAACCTCAGGAGTCTAAGATAGGACCCCAGGGAGCTAGAATTCAGATGTGGGAGGGAGGGTTTGGGGAAGATGAGACTGGTTCTGGGAGTGTGGAAGAAAAGGTACTAGCATCTCAGCTAAGCCAGATGCCATTGCTGGACAATGCAGACAGGAAGGACCACTTCCTTCTCACCAACTACTGCCCTCTCTCCTTCCAGTGTCTTCTGTGGGCAGGAGTCAGATAACAAAACACTGATATGGTTTGCATATCCCATCCTAGTACCACAGGATTATAGAAAAGGAGGTTTGAGTAACATCAAAATCAGGTAATTTTACATTTAAACCTTTTTTATTTATTTATTTAATTATTATCTACCTGATTTGTTATCAAATTTGACTGAATAACCTCTGTTTTCAAAAGACAAATCTACTCCCCCCAAACAAGGATTTGCCACTGCTGAGGTTTATTAACTTCAGACTACATCAATTCTCCAGGTAAAATACTGAAGAATTCCTTTCAGATGACACTAAAAATCCCCAGAGAAAAGTCCTCCTACTATGGTACTTGGGGGTTTTATGTAAAGAAAGAAAAAAACAAGAACCAGAATACCATTGGACTGATCAGTAGCAGTTTCCCCCCTCTTTTTTTTTTTTTTTTTTGCTAAAAAAAATGGAAAATACCTAACAAATTTAAGAAATAATTTTCAGTCTTGAGTTTCTTTTCCATACTTTTTTCACAGATGCATGACTTTTCATGCACCCTTCTTTAAAAATTCCTCTAAGAGGGAATTGCAAATCAAAGCCACAGCAAGAGACTATTCAATGGACCATATCACTAAACCAGAAATGACAAAAGTTGGTGAGGATGTGGGAAAAAGGAACCCCTCTGGTGGGGATGTAGACTGGTTCTGCCCTTGTAGAAAACTATATGGAGGTTCCTCAAAATACTTAAAATTTAGATATTCCATATGATCCAAGAAGATGTGGTACTTATACACAATGGAATATTACTCAGCAATCAAAAAAGATAAACTCATGCCATTCGCAGCAATGTGGATGGAGCTAGAAGGGATCATGCTCAGTGAAATAAGACAGAAAGAAAAAGAAAAATACCGGATGGTCTCACTCATAGCAGGAATTTAGAAAACCTAAAGGGACCAGGAGAAAGACTAATTATAATAAAGAAAAAATCAAAATCAACAAGCAACAAGTGTAGACCAGAGACACACTACTGGGGGGAAGGGGGAGGAGAGGAGCGATTAGGGTCAAAATAAGGGGGGTGGGAATTGTATGGGGAATATAACCAAAATGAAAATGCATACATTGTGCAAAAATGATGTAAGAATTATATAAAATAAAATAATAAAAAATAAAATAAATTTATAAAAAAAAAAGGTATGTCATATGATCCAGCAATTCCACACCTTGGTATTTACCCAAAGAATGCAAAAACATGAATTTGAAAGGACATATGCACACCTATGTTCATTGCAGCATTACTTACTTACAATAGTCAAGTTATGGAAACAATCCAAGTGATCAAAGACAGATGAGTGGATTAAGAAAATGTGGAAGGTACACAAGCTGGAATACTACTAAGCCATAAAAAGATGCAAGATCGCTATTTGAAACAGCGTGGATGGAAGTGAAGAGGGTTATGCTAAGTGAAATAAGTCAGAAGGAGAGAGACAACTACCTGATGATTTCACTCATGTGTGGAATATAGAGGAACAAAACAAAGGAACTGACAGAACTAAACCCAAACAAACTCTAGAAATGGCTGCACAATTGGGGCTATAGAGGGGGAGGGAGAGTGGGCGTGGGATGTGCAGTGGCATAAATGGAGGTGTGACCCTACACCACTAAATCATATATAGTCTTGTAAAACCAATATCCAGACAGTGCAGTTTATTCACAGAGCAGTTTATTTACTTTCTCTCCTCTCCCTTGCTAAGCTCCAGGTGAGGAGTGGGGGATGGGCGGGAGCGGACCTCTGCAAGCTGCATTTCCCAGGTTCTCTTGCAAATCGACTCCTGCCCCCTTTTCTGCCAAAGAGAGGCAGTGGCTGAAGGTTAGTTCACAGGAGAGAAAAGCCAACGAATAGGTTCCCCCACCTCCTGCAGGAATAGAGCAAGGTAAGCCAAAGTGGCAGAAAGCAGAGAAGCTGTTACCTTTAACTTAAATGTAAAAACTCTGACTATTCCTTCACCACCCCTCCAAATGATAGCAAATTATTGACAAAACCTAGAGTAACACACAGAGTATGCCAGGAATGCTATGACGCACACATACCTGCACAGAGCATCACCCAGGAAGGAGCTCCGAGGAAGGCCTGCGGCCGGATGCTCTTCTCCCCTGCGGCTGCGCAAAACACGCCAGGCTGGAGTTTCCCTTTTGGCCTTCTGTCCTAAAGGAGAAAATCCTCTTCAGATTTCTTTCAGTTAGCAAAAATAGGTACGAATGCAGACTTTTCATAAAAATGAAGTGCTTAACCCACGAGAACTTTTGAAAAGCAGAGGATATCTTTGTTTCTCTCCTTTTCTGCATTGGTGACACCTCCAGAAGGTGGTAAGTTCTCTACTGCTCCAGATCGCTCGAGAAATCCTAGGACCTCGAGGTTCTACCGTTGGTTGACCGCTCCAGCTCTTTAACTCCTCCCTTTGAACTTTGAACCAGTGGAGAATGGCAGCTCAGATGGCAGGTAATCTCACCTGCCTCTCGTGACTCCCTAAGTGGTCTAATATCTTGGAAAACAATTTCTCATATTGAATTCCCTAAACTGAATTATGTTACATTAGTCTGATTTTTCTGAATGGCTCTGATATCACCAACTAGTCAATATTTTAATATTCATGCATGTGAAGGTACAAATTTCTAAAATAAATATAAAATATATTTCATCGTGCTATACAAATTCTAAAGGAAAAAATTGAACAATGACAGAATCACTTCAGGAAAGCATTTTCTTGCAATGTCTACTTTGAACAAAATCTTAAATTCTCAGTCTTCTTATGCGTGTTTAAAAGCAGGTATTTTATTTTACAACAGTGGATATATGAGCTAAGTAAAATATTATATCCCTGAATAAAAGAACTGAGTCTGCTCTGAAGATTTTATATTTATGAAAATTGCATTTGGTTTTATTTTGTCTCCCTTGAAAGTAAGTGAGCCAGCAGTCGATCCACTGAATATATCAATGTATTTTGAGAGATCACTGCTGCTTTAAAAGTTTAGATGGGAAGGGAAATCAGCAAATATTTTCCTCTGTTATTATTTTCACTTAAATTTGTATAAATAATTTTTTATAAACAGTACAGGAGGGTACCTATTGATAACCAAGTCTCCTCTAGCTTGAATTACAAACCCCATGGGAATCCATGACCAATGGCTGGTATGTCCTTTCAACACTCATGTGTGCAGATATAAACATCTATCCATATTTTTCTGTAAAATGGGAATAATAGTATAGCATATTCTTCAGTAATACGTTTGTGAGGATTAAATAAAAACACAGAAGACACGGATATTCATATTTTCTAGTTTCACCAAATGCTGTCTGCTTTCATATATGGAAGTAAAATTCACCTGGCCTCCTACTTAGTTTATTTTCCAAGTTTTTGCATATATGTAAGTATATGCATATATGTACGTATATGCATATATGTAAGTATATATATTCTTAACATTGTCATTGTAGATTAAAGGGATTGCGCATTTTAACTTCTGTAATAACAAAATGCCCTTTAAATAAAAAGTAGGCACACACATAATATGATAGGCTTTGTACTAAAGATTATAAATCCAGCAGAGTAGAAGTGTAAGAGAACTGCAGAATGTGTTTTGTGTAGCAGGTAAAACATTAACTCTTAGGGAAGAAGACATGGCAAGTATACATAGGTATTGTGTGTTATGATGTAAGCGAGGACATAAGGCAGCAATTAGATGAGTATGTAGACCCAATATAAGAGTTAAAATGCTGGCTTGATTGAAGGGTGGAAAGTGAAGCGTGTAAAATGAAGTCAGATTGTAGAGAAAGATGGAGCCAATTTTCTGAATTCATGGCGAAGATAGCTGTAAACTTTGGAGCCCTGGAAGAAAATATAAAAGCAATGTTTGTATATTTGTTGTAGGAGAGTCATATGGTTTCTCAGCCTGCTGATCTTTATTACATTTTTTAAGAACTTAAACAAGAATATATTTTTGGTAAGTCTGAGCATAATGTGCGAGCAAATCAACCAGTTCTTAAATTATGAAAACTGTCATTTTCTTTTTAGCAAAATGATCTAAAGGGCTAAAAATCAAGATATCATATAATACTCCAGGATTTGCAATTTTTATTTTAATTCTCCCTTTTATGATGTGTAGGTTTTAAAATTGTCTTGTTTTAAGAATTCAGATTGGTGCCAATAAGTTGGAAATGCTCAGTTTTAGCAGCGGGCAACTTTATCATGATATTGAATAACTGGTATTAATGGGACTAGCAGAATATATTAGTATTTCAGGCCTATACCACTATCCGGGATTTCTTGACTAATTATTTAAATTTTGCTTTATTAAAAAAGAAACTGTTGGTTTCAATTAGCAGGGTGAAAATTTTTTTAAAATTTAGTGTTTATATTTTTGTATGCAGATAGTTTATATAAAGACCACACTATATTCCTGCATAGACATTCCTGCATAGTCTTAGCCTCATCTTTATTTCTATCTAAATGGTAGGGTATGTTTTTCTTACATGCATGATTTGTTCTATTTTAATTATTGCCTGATTGCTTTACTCAGAGGGTAAGCAGAAATGGTCAACCCCATATTCGGAATCAGTCAGGTCTACTTTGAATCTTGGCAAGTCTACTAATTAATTGTGTCTTTGTTA